GGTCCAGAGTTATCGGTCTCGGCTAGGTAGTCTTGTAAACCTCTGAAGATTTCCCGACGAAGAATAAGCTGGTTTCTTCTCTGAAAATTTAGGCAATTCTGTACGCACGCATCGACTGCGAACTGTTGACATAGCTTTCCAGCGTATAGAAATGGATTGAAAGAATCCCGTATTGAGAACAAGTACGCGGGTACTCATTTTGCGTGATGCGTTTCCCTCCCCTGTTTCTCAAGCCAGATTCCCAACCACCTTCACCGGTAGGAAACAAAAGAGGATAAGTCAGCGGATCACAGATTTTGTCGGTATCGCTGATGTTCCTAGGCTGCTCTCCTGTTGCGCTTCGCAAGTGGACTACAAGGCTTCTGTTAGCGGGCACGTCATTATCTTCGCCAACGCAGATCACTGCCACTTCGTTTGTGGTGGGGAGATCGTATGGCCGTCGTGCTAACCCTCTCAATGAACTTTCTTCAAAACCCATACGAATGTTTGCTGGCGCACGGTTTTCGTTAGCAGCCATGGCTATTTCCATCCGCTCTACTTCGTACAGCTTATAATATTGACACTTGCTGGTAGACCACTTAGGAAGCGCATGAGCCTCATTTCGGACTCGTAGTTTCTTACGTCTCCGAGACGCTCCTGGGCAGCTAGCTCCGTATCTCATATGTATATATGTATATATATATACATACATATATATACTTGTCCGTATTGGCGCGGTTCTCCATCTCTTGATTGAGAGGTCCCAGCCTATGACAAACCTGCCCATGGATTGTATAACAGTAGAGCCCCCGTCCTTGTAGCGTCCCGACCTGCGCACCCATTGAAGCCATCGCCAGGGCAGAGTTGAAGTTCCTTATGTTTTCCAAGAAATTCTTTTGAGTTCCCCGAAATTCCTCAGTTGAATCAGGTCCACGCACGAAGTGCCTGCGCAACTCCTCAGGAAAAGTCGCAGCACTCGCGGAACTTGCCCGGGTGGCTCGCTTTAACCTCGCAACGGAAGTGCAACGCCCCGCATCTCACACATCGCTGGTCGAGCTCTCCTAAGTAGTTGGCTTCCATTATGCGCGTGAGCAGTGCAGCTCCAGTGGATCCTGGAAGTCTGCTCCATCGTTGGCGATTGGATAAGGCTCTTGATTGTAAGCGAACAGTTCGTTTGCGCTCGCTCTCCAAAGTGCACCGATGCTGATGTCTCTGAGTGTCCTCTTGCAGTCGAAATGCGCGCGCTTCTGCGCTTTCGACCGCTCGTCTTCTTTGGAGGCGCATCGCCTCCGCTTGCGATCTGAGCGCTCTTTCTTCCAATGTTTCGGAGGCACGTCTTCTTTGCTGAATCTGAGCGTTCGAATGCAATCTCGTCTTCATTCCTCAGAGGTTTTTCGTTGTCTTCTTCTGCGCTGGCGTTAAAGAACCTCTCGCAGTCTCGCTTGCCGCTCTTCGACGTTTTCCGAAGCTCGCCTTGGTCGCTGACGCAGGGCGTTTTTCGCGAAGCCGCGTCTGTCGCTCCTCTACCCCTCCTGAATCCCGTCTTCTTCGCTGAAGCCGAGCGTGTTCTTTTACTCTTGTTTGATGCTCCTCAGCATTTTCTGACTCTTCTTCTCTGCTGCCGCTGTAAATTTCCCGCTAACCTAGCCGCTCTTTGCTCGATTCTCTCCGACTCACGCCTTCTACGCTCTCTTTGAGCGCTTCTCTCAAGCCTATTGGATCTTTGGGCAGGATTTTTTGAATCACGCCTTTCTTGCTTCCTTTGGGAAATTTCCAGCAGCCGCAAAGTCCGTTCTCCAAGAGGCTTATGCAGGCATCTACGCCTCTGTCTGTCAGCGCTGTCGCTCAACCTCGCATTTCGCTCCTACGAGGTCTCATTTCTTCGCCTTCGTTGCTGGCGCGCCGCATCGGCTTCCAGGCGAGCGGCACTTTCTTGAAAAGTTCCTCGTTGTCGCCTGATTCGCAGGCGCTCATTCTCGCTGGAATAGATTCTTGTTCTGCCCCTTCTTGTACTTGGCTCCAGAAAGAACACTGAAGTATTACATGGATCTAAAGTCTGTGCAGATTTCTTGAACTTGAATTGTGCTAATGAAATATGAATCTGTGAATGTGCCGGGAAATGTCGATTCGAATCTATAAATCGGATGATCCAATCAGATCGATACATTTCAAGTACCTAAGGTTAGATAGTATAACTAACTCGAAAAAGAATATTGAATTAGGTTGTATTTTGCTAAAACGGGGTCCCCAAGTGGATCTGGGAACAATCTTCACCTTATGGGTAGGCTTGGTGAAACGTATATCAAGGGTGTAAAAGATATGCTCAACGCTGGATTGGATGCAGTTCGTTTACAGAAACACACTAAGCTCAGTGAGTAAATGGAGATTACCTCCAATCGAAGGCTTTCTGCTGCATTCACAGAGCGGTGATCAGAAATGTTTTTTTTTGTTAGAATCATTGGGCTCAACAGTTGAATCGTTGTTCAACGCATTTCTCCAACCCTTACCACGTCATCAATACTTCCTTCACAATATCATTTCCAACGTTGTACATTCTCGTGTTGCGTATTAGGATTCCCTAACAACCGAAATCCTGAAGCAATGATCGGCTGCAAAAGTGATTAACGTTGTAAATCAGTCGTCATAATCTTCTGCTTCCGCGAACTTCGTTCCAACCCCGTTTCGTGTATCATATACACATGTGTGCGAATAATAAATTGTTATCGCAGGAGATGTGAAGATCACATGCAGTACAACGCTTTACATTGACATTTATCAGTACTTCCGAGTTCGATATCAATGCTTGTGTACCATTCCACGCAATAGAGGGAGCAGCGACACTTTCTTGTCGACAAGGAAGAGTGAATGGTGGTGACATCGTTCCTCACCCATTCGCGACCTTTTTGACTTTTATTTATGTGAGCGGTAACACCCCATTCTTGACCTTTCCATTTGTGCATTCACTGATTGATATTATGAATGAAAGATCCCAAAAAGTAGCGCTCACAAAAACTAGCGGCCTAATTGGCTTAATTGCTCATGATATCGGAAAAAGGAGTGCTGTTCGCATCTTGTATTCCAAGACACTACTCCGTTTTCGGAACAAATGGTATTTTCCACACATAAAAGTCGGCACAGACATTACAACTTTGACACGGTACCCTGAATGAGGGGTGCATGGCATAAGCAGGGCTGTGCAAGTGGTATCCAATATGTGCCGATGCTTATGTATATGATTAGGAGCATCAATGTTGCTCCTTCATCTCAAAAAGAATGACCGGTGAGGGATTTATTTGTTAGGTAACCAAAACCTTGACTAGTGCTCACAAATGTTGTCAAGTGATAACAGTTCCATTATCAGATGTCGATATCATGGAACTTCTCTTCTCTACGGATATATCATTACCTGAGAATCCCAGATTATTGACGGTCGAATACGTCCTATCGTGAACGATATCAAGAAGAAGAGAAACCGTGATCTTCTACGTCACAAACCTTGCTGGGTAGCGATCGTATTCCAACAGGTCGAGATCACAAATCTAGCAGTTGAGCTTCCGATGGTGAATGCTTTTATGATATCTTGTCAGTTATTATCAGTACCTCTCATCGGTCGTCTACGATACACCAAGCTCAAATCATATGCCAAACTGTCAAGGCTCCACTATTAATGCAACTGTTCTGGTGGCTGACCCCGCTGCGGTTTCCTATTGGATCTTATCAGTCAACAGTTCTTGGTACCAATAGTTCTCGTTCACTTCACCGCCAAACTGCCAAGGGTTTCATCGGAGTGTGTGTGATCCTTGGCTTTTTACAACTGATTATAAGCCGTTATCAGTTCCGGTCACCGAATACCTACAATCTCGTCACATCTTGCATCACCTTTCGAAATGCCAAAGTTCCACTGACAACAGGAAAAGAGTTACAGACCTAATAGCTCTCTATTTCATAGCTGATTATCAGTCGTTATCAGTTATTCCTAGTTCCCGACACCGACCCCATCACATCTTACATCACCTACTGAAATACCAAGACTCCACTATTAACAGGAAGCGCGCCACGACCTACAGGCAGGCCCTCGCCTTCTATGGCTTCTTATCAGTCCCTATCACTTGGTATCATTCTCTGTCACCAAACACTAACGGTCCCATCGCAACCTACATCACCTTCCAAAGTGCCAAGGCTTCCTCGCTATTACGAAAGGAGTTACGGACCCTATGGCTTTTGCCTTTTAAGGCTTCTTATCAGTTTCTACTGATTGTTGTCACTTCTTATCGCTTACCGTCGCTGTTCCTATCGGGCCGCCTATCTCTCTTTTAAATTTGTACGCTTTAGCTACAGTGGGACGGGAGTTAGAAGTTCCGTTCCGATCGGACAAACACGCACACATACTCATACACAAACACACCATTAGACACATATAGCCGATCATATAAGTAGGACTGATGACGTCGACGATGGCATCCTTCAGCATCTGCTATACAGAAAATAGAGTATATTGTATCTCTATCTGTAGAGAGCAAATAGTGTGCATAGAAGATATTCCGCTTGTCGTTGGAAATGTAAGACATAGATTGTTTCCACAATCCCCCGAGTTCGGCTAAATAAGCATGATATTTGATTTGACATCAGCAACCCAGCGGCACATCATATTTGTGGCAAAAACTGGGTTTAAGACATATTTCCGTCTCATAGTTTTGAAAAGCTCTTCTATTTTGGAATATTGATTCCAGAATAGAATTCTGCATCCTGTATAAAGAACGAGCGCCTAGTAGGTGTAGAGGTTTTACACGAGAAGTTGCGCGAATCGGAGGCAGAGAAGCCGGAATGTCAGAGCTAGGCTCTTGATGAAATTGCAAAAGCTAACACCTTCTCTGACACTACAGCTTCTTCGCCTTCGATTTGGGCAACTACTCCGTGCCAAAATTCTGCACTTATAAGGCGCTTGCCCTTCATACAGAATCCAGAATTCTATTCTGAAATGAACACGCTTTTCACAACTTTAAGACGAAACGATCTCATAAACTCGACTTTTGGCCTCAAATATAATGTTCCGTTGCTTTGCATCGTATAAAAAGTACAAGAATCCTTTCTTTAGTGGCAAATCAAATATTGTGGTTATTAAACCGAATTCGGGGGAAGTGGCAGCAATCCATCTTTCACATTTTACGAGGTTTTGCGAAATATCATCTAGGCAAACTATTCGCTCAGACAATGATACAACATCGTCCACTTTGAAGGATGTCATCGTGCACGCCATCAACTAACATATAAGTAGGAGTGAGGCTCAGAAATAAAATTCACCTTCGAAATGTCATTTATTGCCACAGTGTTGGTTTTCCTTGTAGTAAACGTCTTTATTCGAGGTAACATCTGCTTTTAAGGATTAGTTCTTGAAATACCACTGTTTCAAGGATCTATAGCAGTGGACTCGAGAAAGTACTTTTCCAGCTCTAGGGAGCCCTGTGCTACCAGTGTCTTCGGACGAATTTATGGAACTCGGAATAAGCTCCACCGAAAATCTGGTAATTTAATCGAAAATTAGAGTGTTGGACTTATACCTATCAAATCACACAATCGGATTTCGAAGAGCGATTCAGGGATCGCGAACAGCTCAAGTTACCCGAAAGCCAAGTGCAACGAATGTTCAAAGCATCTGTACGCATCTACAAACTTATCACATATCGATTTTCTTCAACCAATCCTTATGGAAATTTAGGAAGCCCTCTGCTACACGTAATTGGTTACTTGAAAGATATTTGACTGCGTCCACAAAAACGCCTGGATGGCTGCACTATCGTGAGTTGAATTCTGACACGCTATACTATCAAACTTCCTCGGAACCTTCGAAAGCAAAACTCGAGCAAAATGAACTTTTCCATCCAGTCAGCCCCGATTAATCGAGAAGCTTAAAATCTACATCTGTGCTGATGGGTTCCATTCAGTACTTTGTCAAGATTCATGTTGGGAAGGGGCAGGTTAAAGGGAATCAAATTAACAATCCATTCACGCGTCGCGTAATAATCTCCATTAATTAGCATACTGAGGTATCAAAAGAGCGTATTCGGCAATTTTGCAAGAGATCGCCTCACTTTCTTTTCCGCTCCTTACCAAAGCCCTATTATAAGGTTTTTCACTGTTAGTATTTCTGCAGCTCTGAGACGAGGCTCTCTTGGAAGATTATACTATTCCCTTCTAATATTTTCCTAACACAAATTTTATGACCTACCGAAGTTATAAAGTCATGTACCTCTGGATGAACGAATACGAGTTTTTGTAGCGGATTCGTTCGCATAGTCAATCTATCTTCAGAGAGCACATTTCGCGATTTTCTGTTTTTTTTTTTT